AAACATACAAGAAAAGAAAAAAAGTTAAGAGCACCCTGGGGGAATCCCAGAGCGGAGAGAGGATGATGGCTGCAGCCCGGGCACGGCGGGCCCAGAGGCTCCAAGGAGATGTAAACCAGAAGGAAATTCATTGCAAATCCCGCTTACTTCTCCAGCCAGCAGCTTGGTGGCAGGAGCAAATGTCCTGGGGTACTGCACAAGGGTAGAAAAAGTCCTGCTAGGTGCCCCCGGAATCATGCGTAGGTGGAGCAACCGGCTGCCCCTCTACATCTCGGCCTCCCTCCCCAACACCCCTTGACTGGGGATTAAAGCCTGGGGGCGCACTGCTGGCTCCTGTCAGTATAGCTTGGGCCCCTTGGGCTCTGGGTTGTGACTTCGAGCACCACATTGGATGTAGAGATGGCTTAAAAACAAAATCTTTAAACAAAAATGAAAGAAAGAAGAAAAAAAAAAGCCTGGAAAGATTGCCTCTTCCCAAGGCCATCTTGAGTCTAGATTCTGATATAGGGAAAAATTTGCAGCAAAGGAAAGAGAAATTGGGTGGTAGCCTGAGGGGAGAGTGGGGTAAGGGTCATTTCTTTTCTTTTTAAAAAATTGTATTTATTTATTTGACAGAGAGTGAAAGAGAGACAAAGAGAGAGACAGAGATTCTAAGCGGGGGTGGGGGGGTGGGGAGGGTTGGGGAGAGGGAGAAGGAGCAGACTCCCCGTTGAGCAGGGAGCCCGATGGGGGACTCATCCCAGGGCCCTGAGATCATGACCTGAGCCGAAGCAGACGCTTCACCGACTGAGCCGCCCAGGCACCTCGGGGATTTTCTTCTTTACAGTTGAGAGAACTGCACGGTCGCCTGCTGACCACAGTGGTCCAGTAAGAGAGGGCACAGATGGCCCGGGGCAGGGGCACTCACCACAGCCAGGTCCTTGAGAAGGGTGAAGAATAGAGGCTGATATACACTTGGAGGAGCTGGGCTCAGGCCGGGGTCTGGACAGGGGGGTCGCGGTTAGGGAAGGCAGGCTGCGCCTGTGGCACTGCCCAAGGCCGGGGCAGTGGGTAGGGAGTGTAGCAGTGGGGCTTTGGGACCATTTCTGTCTCCCGAAAGAAAGAAGAAGAGAGGTCATCCACGGAGTGGGGATGGGGAGGTGGGGGGAGCGTTAGAAGAGAGAAGCTAGGAAGTAGCTGGCTAGGTGGCTAGGGCAGCGGGGACATGACTGGCGGGGACACGAGTGGGGTGGGGCGGTGTGGGGGGACTGGCCAGTGTTCAGAGCCCCTCTGGGACAGGGATCAGGAATGGAAGAGAAGGGATCCCTGGGTGGCGCAGTGGTTTGGTGCCTGCCTTTGGCCCAGGGTGCGATCCTGGAGACCCGGGATCGAGTCCCGCGTCGGGCTCCCGGTGCATGGAGCCTGCTTTGCTTCTCCCTCTGCCTGTGTCTCTGCCTCTCTCGCTTTCTCTCTCTGTGACTATCATAAAAATTAAAAAAAAAAAAGGAATGGAAGAGAACCGGCCAGCAGGTCTGCATGCCCCCCACCAAGCCTCCCAGCCCCTGCCAGCGCTTCAGGGGCTGGCCTCTCCTGCCCACTATCAGAGTCTTCCCTGGTGGGGTAACTTTGTCCAAGGCAGTTTTGCTCTAACACTTCCCATTGGGCTTCCCACTGATCCCCTCTCCCAGGGAGGCTGCAAAGCAGAGGTTCTCATCCTCCCAGAGGGTCACACACCCGCCCTAGGGAAGACCTTCCTGCTTGCATTTCGGTTCTTGCTCTGGCCTGGTGTTTCCTTACTGCTTTGTTGCTTTCTGGATGCTTTCGAGAAGAAGGAATCATTTTTATCCTATTTGATTTCAGTTGTTTCCAGTATGGGTATGAATAACACAGGGAGGACGGGTCAGTCATGACCTTTTGGACTTCTCTGCCTACTCTGTCTCTAGTGTCTTAGACTGAGTGTCCCCAAACTAAAGTGTTCATCTCACCCCCCCCCCCAACATGGGCCTTCCACAGCTCTGTCTCATGAAGGCCTCTAGAAGTGCTGTGACCCCAGACATTCCACAGCCAATCAGCCTGGGGTGACCCCCCAGGGGTCCATGAATGAGAAAATGGTGTCTCTTCTTCAAGTTAAACATTTATAAATAAGCATATCATTTCTTAATAATTACCGTAGTAAACAAGGACTCTGTTTGAATAAGACATTTAGTTCCATCAGAAAACTGTCAAAATATACAAATTTAGTCACAAGAGACTTCCCTACCATCTGCCAAAGTTGTAGTAAACACACAATTCTTGTCTATGAAGTTAAACAGCTTATTTCAAAACACAATGTTTTGAAATAAGGAAATGTCTATACGGCCGATAGCACTCCCTTGGATATGGCACCCTGAACACTTGTAAGAGCAACCCTGAATTAGCCTCTTTAGCGATTATTTCGTTGTTTCCATCTTTTAAATACATCATCAATCTGTTTCTCTTTCCCTATGTATCTAGCTTGGACTATTGCAGTACCTTCTGGCTGGTCTTCCTACCCCCAGCCTGACCCCACCCCCACCCCCACGCACCTGCGCCCACGGGGTCTGCTATTCTCTCTCTGCCTGAGTATGCTTTGCCGGGGAAAAAAAAAGCACACATCCACGACGTAGGGACTTAGGGTAGGCGGAAGCTCCGGTGTGCAGATTCTTCCTCTGGTGTCTTATCTTCCATGACAGTATCTGCCAGAGAAAATGAACTGTTTATTTTGTTTATAAGTTTGTTTCCCCACCTGGTTGTTTCTCCGCCTTGTAGGGTTTACAGCATTTCCCCTTTGCTCCCATAACACCCTGAACACATCTCGATGACAGCACATGTTATATTGGCCTATAACCACAGGTGCAGTCCCTCTTCCCATCATTTGAGCTCCTTGAATGGAGATTTGTCCTGCAGGTCTCTGAGCCCCTGTGTCTAATACGGTGCGTGGCCCGGTAGACGACTCCTTATTTGCACAGTTTGTGCCTTCCAGGCTTATATGATTCTTAGAAGGCCAGCCCTCTCCCTCATTGCCCCCCCTGAGAAGAAGGGAGAAGGGAGAGTAGGGCTGGGGAGGCGCTTTTGCTGCCCTTGTCATTAGCCGCACAGCCACTAGGGGGCAGGGAACCCCCATCCTTCCCCCAGATCCCCGCCCAACCAGCCTTCCCCACAAAATTCGATTTTCCACAGGTCCTTGTGCTGAGAGATCATTTTGCAAAAAATGGTCGACTCAGCGAATGATCAACTTGCTAAATCAATGAGGAGTTACATGAAGCTGGGGTTTTACTCAGAAAGCTCCCCAAACGCTTCATACTTTAGAACAAGAGTGCTTTTTCTGAACTCAATGGACTATTTTCTCTATTTTGGGGAAATGACATTCCACTGGGGCTGTGACTCTCTGGCCCTGAACTGACCTCCACTCTTGGGAGCCACATGGTTGGGATGATCACAGGATGGGACTGAAGGCTTTTCATCTAATTATTTTAGTGAACTGATTTTATGTGAATTGATCTAGCACCCAAAAGGGGGTGGAGATTGTTTCTAGAACAGATCCTCCTTACTGGGGGCATCCACAGGGTGGGGAATGCGGGAGGCTTTTCTCAGCAAGATGTAGCCTGTGTAGATCCCAGCCCTGGGTGGCAGTGCCAGTATCCCCAGGCTTTCTTTGGCTTACTAATGAGGTAGAATGTGAAGACCAGCCCAAGGGGAGGTGGATCCCTTGGGACAGAGCAGCCCCTCAAGACCTGTCACCCCCCCCCATCCTTCCTCTGGGTCTCTGGAAGTACCAGAGCCTGGTGTGTGGATGAACCACCAGGACAGGACCTACTCTCAGAGAATAAGGCTAGTCACGAAATGGCCCACACTGTCTGATTCCATCCATAGGAAGTATCCGAAGCCCTCAAAATCACAGAAACAGAAAGTAGAGGTGGTGTTCCCACCGTCTGGGGGTGGAGGACCAGAATTAGGGGGCTGATGAGCACAGAGTTTCATTGTTGCAGGACTGGAAAGTTCTGGAGCTCTTTGCACAACAACAAAGGTATTTGAGGCTCCTGAACCGCGCACTTAAATATGGCCAAGACGGTAAATTTATGTAATGTTATGTGCGTGTTGCCTTTTAAAAACCGTAACAAGGGCAGCCCCGGTGGCGCAGCGGTTTAGCGCCGCCTGCAGCTTGGGGTGTCAATCCTGGAGTCCCGGGATCGAGTCCCGCTCGGGCTCCCTGCGTGGAGCCTGCTTCTCCCTCTGCCTGTGTCTCTGCCTCTGTCTCTCTCTGAATGAGTGAATGAATGAATGAATGAATAAATAAATCTTAAAAAAAACCCAAACCCATGACAAAGTAAGTCTTTCCCAGTGTTGGGCTGCCTTCTGCCGTGGAAAGCTTTCAGAAGGGCTTCGTTTATAAGCTACTGGAAAGCTCGAAATCTCTAGCATTTCAAAGGTCTTAACTTGCCCTAGAAAGGACCTGTTGGCCTGGGAGGCAGCGCGTTCTGCGGTGAGGTTGGAGGGTCCCCCTGGAAGGGTGTGAGGCGTTGCTGGGGGGTGCGGGTGGGAGAAGGGACACAACACAGCGCCTTCCGGCTTCGCGGACTTGGGGAGGGGTGGCGGAGGTCACCCTGAAGGACCACCTGCCGGGCGCCGTCCCCGCACAGGCCACTGGCCGGCTCGGCCTCTGCAGGCGCCGCGGCGTCCGTCCCGGGGGCGGGGACCCCCCCCCCCCGCACAATAACCCTGTCGAGGACCCTCCCGAAGCTGGTCCTGGGCCCAGCCCCCGCGGCGCCGCAGCCCCAGGCCGAGCCTCCTCCTCGGCGATCGCGTCCCCACCCCTGCCCTTCGGCTGCGGCCGCGCGGGGCCGAATCAGGCCCCCACCCCCGCCCCCGCTGACCCCGACCGCCGGCGTCTTCACCCGGTGCCCCGGCCCCCCACCCCACCCCACCCCACCCCCGCCGACGGCCTAGGTGCACGTCCCGTTTCTAGAAACCTCTTCCTGCTCGGAAGCAGTTTGTCAGAAAGATCCCGGTCCGGCGGCGCCCCGCCCGCCCCAGCTTGCTCCTCCCGCCGCCCGCGGGGACCTCAGCGGCTTCCCCAGAGCCATGGAGCCTGCGACGCGCCCGGGGACCGAACCCAGGTGCGTGCGCGCCGGCGCGGGTCCGGGTCGCAGCAGGTGGCTGCCCTGGGGGGGGGGGTTGAGGGACAGGGGGGGCTTGGGTCAGGGCGTGAGGGAGAGGGCGGGAGGCTGCCCAGCCGCCCTGCAAAGCTGGCAGCTCGGACGCCGCTCTGCCACGTTCACTTTTCTAGTGTTTTCCACCCCGTGCACTCTTGGGTCCCGTCAGCTGAGCACTGAAGGCGCCAGTGGTTGTCAAAAGCAAGACTCTGATTTTACCTACACTTAAACCTCCCGGGCTTCTCACCTTTGAACTCTTTCTCCTCCTCCTGTTGACTGACCTGCTGCGCTGGGGCTGAGTCCTCCCCAGGCTGGGTTCTGGAAGCTTCCCTGGCCATCTTTTTTTGTGGGGTGAACTGCCCCTTGATGTGGGACAGACCTCCACACCATCGGAGCTTTGCTTGGATGGCAGAAGCCACGTACCTTTGGGCTAGATCCTGAGAAGGGCAGGCTGCTGGAGAGTTTCAGGAGAGTTCTGGAGAGAACTTTTTCCCTCTTTGTTAACCTGCTGGGGTCTCCAGAGCCGTCTGGGGGGTGCCGAGAGGGGATGTGGATAAAGGAGAGAGGGAGGGAGGGGGGTTTTGGGCTCCTTTTTATCCTTAAAAGTGTTTTTCTTTTTCTTTTAAACTTATATGAAAAAGAGAAAGAGCACAAGCAGGGAGGTCCAGAGAGAGAGGGAGAAGCAGACTCCCTGCTGAGCAGGCGCCCCATGGGGGACTGGATCCCAGGATTCCGGGGCTCCGGGACAACAACGAGCCCAGCCCAGCCAAAGGCACATGCGTGACCTAACCAACTGAGCCATCCAAGTGCCCCCTTAAAAGAGTTCTTATATGCGGGGGAGAAAATCCCACAGGTTGGCAATTGTCCACAGGGAGAAGGGGAAGAGCCTGACGGTGGCGGGGGTGGGGGTGGGGTGGGGGGGTGGGGGGGGTGTCCTGATTGAATATGCCCCCTCCTAGGTAGGAGTTCAGCAGACCAATTTAGTCACTGCGGTGACCAATCATGTAAAACAGTGGAGCTTAGGTGGGAAATAAATTCCTTTCTTTTTCAGATCTGCTGGAGGTGTCTGCTTCTTTCAGCTGCTCACCCACTAGTATCTTTTTTTTTCTTATTTAAAAGAAATTAATGCACAAAAAACATACCACTTCACTGAATGGGATACAATATAAAGTTAGTTCACTTTTATTATTTTCAATTTTCTGCCTGATTAGATGTAAATTCTGCAGTCATGAAGTCGCTTGAATCCTTTATGATTTCTTCTAGAGTCACCAGTAGCTTTATAATAGTGCTTCGAATTGGCTTTCTGACATTGAATTGTAATACAAATTTTGTAACTCTGTGGGAGAGAGGACTGTTTCTGATTCTTTCTTTTGAGGTGAGTTTTTCCTTCTAGTCATTTTGCTCAGTGCAGAGTGGCCAAAAACAAGTTGTACTGGAAAAAGGAGAAAAAAAGAGAAGAGTAAAAAAGAAAAAAAAAAAGATGAAAAAAAGAAAAAAGGGGGGGAAGCAAACAGAAAACAAGGGGGAGTATCCTCTGATTTCATATATTGTAAATCCCTCGACTTCCCCTGGAACTTTCCAGTGCTGCTTGGTCAATAACTTGCTTTTCCCCTGTCCCTCTAGGTGGTCTTCTGGGGGAGGGGCCTGCTGTGCTGATTCTTAGGTGTGAGCACCTGGGGGAGCTGCTCAGCCCTCTGCCTGGTGCAGGGCTCAGTGGGAGTTACTTATCCTGTTTATCCCGTGAGGCCACTGTGAGGCTCAGTGGGAGTTGTTTACCCTGTGAGGCCCCAGGAGGAACAACCACAGTGGCGGTGGCCAGCTCTGGAGCCCTGGAGTCAGCTCCCAGTCTGCAGGGGCCTGGATGCTCCGGGGGCGGGGGGCGCTGATCTGCCCAGCTCGGGCGTCCTTGCTGCCCTGTGTCCTTCTGGCCTCTGCCTGTCCCGGGGGGAGTGCCAGATCCTGGGCTGTGTCCCCCAGCTCCCTGGGCGCTACTGGGATCGCGCTCCCGGCCGCACAGCTCCCTCCACGCGGAGCCTCCGACCGAGCCCCTCAGAGTTGCTCCCGGGTCCAGCCGTGGGCGGGCGCTGCGGCTCTTTAGGGAGCTCGGCAGTGGGGTGTGGGGCACTTTCCCCGGGGCGCAGGTCCTCTGTTGGTGCCCCTGGCAGCCTGAGGGCATCCCAGCCCCTCCTGGGATCCTGCTCCAACTCCCTGCGAGCGCCTACCCCCCGCCCCCCCCAAGACTGGTGAAGCTCCTGCTCCTCCGGGACGGGGCTCTCCTGTCCTGGGGACACTCGCCCTGGCCTTAGTCCGGCTCCTCGCGGGGCCCCTCCCCCTTGGATGCCTTTTTATTTCTTTATTTTTTTCCCATCTTCCTACCTTGATAGAGGTGCAAACTCATCTCACTGTAGCATTCCAGCTGTTCTCTCTTTAAATCTCAAGCCGAATTCGTAGGTTTTCAGGATAATTTGAAAGTTATCTAGGTAAGTTGGTGGGGACAGGTGACTTGGGGACCCTACTCTTTTGCCATCTTGCCCCCTCCACTTTTATTATTTTCAAAGTAATATTACTTCAACCTCTCCCTTCCTTCCTTCTTTCTTTTTTTGTACAGATTTTATGTATTTGACAGAGGGAGAGATAGTGGACAAGCAGGGAGGAGAGGCAGAGGGCGAGGGAAAAGCAGGCTCCCCACTGAGCAGGGAGCTGAATGCTGGGCTACTCTAAGATCATGACCTGAGCCAAAGGCAGACGCTTCAGCAACTGAGTCACCCCGGGGGGGGGGGGGGGGCGTCCCTCTTCATTTCTAAAAACCTTTTTCCTCCTTTCCTCACCTCCCTTCCCCATGATCATTTCACATCACTTAGGAGCGTATGCTACACGCCAAGCACAATATCAGGGCTTAGGGACACAGGCATGGTCTCTGCTTTTAAGGAGTTTCATACTAAGAGCAGAAGAGAGAAAATAAAAGTAAATCGTACCAGACAGTAACAGCGTCCTGGGGAAAAGAGAGGAGACTGAGGGGATGGAGAGTTAGGGAGAGGGTCTCTTCGTTCATGGGTATGTCGGGGGACAAAGGTCCTCTTAGAAGTGTCCCAACAGTGACTGGACGTCAGCTTCCAAGAAGTCTCTTTTTCTCTGGTGTGACAGCTCTGGGGTGTATGTTCCAGGCGATGTGGCTTCACCTTCTGCACCTGCGAAGAGCCAGAGACACAGATGGAGAGAACAGCCCAGGCCTCCACCTGTGCCCCATAAGCTTCTCCCTACCTCACTCCTGAGTACCCTGCATTTTTTTTTCATGGTGAGGCTTTTGGGAGGAGGAGTCTGTGCACTGCCTCTCCTGTATGACATTCCTTGCAGCGGGGCTTCTCACAGCCCCCAGGGCTCCCAGGGCTCCACTCTTCACTTCCTTTGGCTGCTGTCCTCATCCAATGCCTTCCTAAGCTGTAGATGTGGTGCTGTGCGAAACAGGGCAAGTCCTCCTTCTCCCAAGACTTCCCTTTCAGGGGTGGGGAGACAAAAAAGAAAGTGAGAAGCAAGTCAATAAGTCAGTGCACAATGTGAAAGGTGGTGGTGGTAGTGGTTGCTGGGCAGAAAAATAGAACAGGATGGGGGGGACCCGGAGTATTGGTGGGGTGCAGGCGAGCCTGTTGCTCTTAATTATAGGATGACTGCAGAAGGCCTTCTGTACCACAGGGACAATTCGGTAAAGACCTAAAGGAAGCGAATCTGCCTCACATGAGTCTGGGGGAAGAATGTTCTAGTTTGAGAACAACCAGCACCAAGCCCCAAGGTTGAATGGGGAACAACAGGGACCCTGGTGTGGCTACAGCAGACAAAGCAAGGGGGATGAGATAGGAGAGGCAGCTAGAGCCCAGATTGGGTAGGGTCTTGTCGGGCATGGCAAAAGGCTTTACCTGTTACTTTCAATCAGTGGGAAGCCCTTGGGGGATTTTGAACTGATGAGGGACAGTATCTCTCTCTTGGTTAGGATCACACTGGCTGTTAATGGGCAATACACTCTAGAAGGGACGAAGCAGGGGGACCAGTGACAGTGTTATTACAGAAGTCCAGGAAAGGGCTCATGATTGCTTCAACCTGGAAAAACCACAAAAGGCTTGATGTGGAGATGACACTTCAGCTAAATGGGTGAAGAATGGGGAGGAATTTCCAGTTAGACAGGAGGGTGGTGCAGGCCAGGACATGCTGGAGCTTCTGGATAACTGGAGCTTAGGTGGCAGAGCTGCAGTGGGGGGGGGTCCCTGACTGGGAAAGGCACCCCCAATTGCAGGCTACACGTTCCTTTTTAAGATTTTATTTTATTTATTTGACAGGGAGAGAGAGAGCAAGTGAGCAGCAGGCAGAGGGAGAGGGAGAGGGAGAAGTAGGGTCCCCACTGAGTAGGGAGCCTGATGTGGGACTCGATCCCAGGACCCCAGGGTCATGACCTGAGTCAAAGCAGACATTTAACCAACTGGACTACCTAGGCGCCCTACACATTCTTTTTAAGCCCATGTTAACCATTGACAAAAATTTTATTGGGCTAAAAAGTAAATTTCAACCAGCGACAAATATTTTATACAGACACTCACCAGCCAGACAGTAATAATATTAGGAACCAATGAAAAGACAGCAAGTGTCTCCCAATACAGTCTTAAATTTGATAGTCACTTCTCCTAGTTTATGGGTCAGAAAGAAATAATTGCCCATCCTGTTTAAACATGTTTAAAGCTGACCCACAAAAAGAGTGAAGGGAGCATCAACACTATTGAAGACGCCAGTTCTTCTAAAACTGAGCTACATATTCAGTGCAGTGGCACTCTAGATTTCATCGGGAGGTCCCAAACACGAAGACAACGGATTTTCAAAGTCCTACAGAGGATTAAGAAGCCAAGAGTAGTGCGACGATTTTGAACCAAAGCAAGGTGTTGAGACCTACCTGCTCGATCACATAATGAGGACTTACAGTTATATATATTTTTTTAATGAAGATTTTTTAAAAGATTATTTATTTATTCATGACAGAGAGAGAGAGAGAGGCAGAGACACAGGTAGAGGGAGAAGCAGGCTCCATGCAGGGGGCCCAATGTGGGACTCCATCCGGGGTCTCCAGGATCACACCCCGGGCTGAAGGTGGCATTAAACTGCTGAGCCACCGGGGCTGCCCCTTACAGTTATATTTTAAGGAGAGTCAAACTAAGTCACTTGGGCTTCAGGAAATAAAGTTTTCTGGTTCGGGAAAAGACTACGTGAGCATCTCATGGACAAAACAGACAATCCAGGAATGAGACTCGGGGGAATTCGGGCACCTGGGACCTGAAAGAATCATTTGGAAAGATGTGGCGCTGGGAAACTTGGCCCTTCAAGTGGATCCGGGTTCAGTTGGGAAGGCCAATCCTGAACTGATGGTGGCTTACGCTGGTGCTTCTCAAGCTTGAATGGTCATGAGAATCATCCGGAACTTGTCCAATTACACATTTTTGTTCGGGAAGTCTGGGCGGAGCTCGAGAGTCTGCATTTCTAACGCGACCTCAATTATTGGCAATATCACTAATCTGCGAACCACACTTGGAGCAGCAGCAGCTGACTCGTTAGAATACCAGCTGCTTTCTTAACAAGAAAGTGATCGCAGGGATGTTTCGGCAGCTCGGTGATTTCACCAGAGATTCTTCTCTCTGCTCTGTGGTCCTTTAGCATGATGGTGGACGATGGCCTTTGTTTCTCTTATTGGTTACCTCATTGCCTTGGTGATATCTGCTGCCGTTCCAGATACCATACTTACATTTATTTTTAAAAAAGATTTTATTGGGGATCCCTGGGTGGCTCAGGGGTTTGGCGCCTGCCTTTGGCTCAGGGTGTGATCCTGGAGTCCCTGGATCAAGTCCCATATCGGACTCCCTGCGTGGAGCCTGCTTCTCCCTCTGCCTGTGTCTTTGCCTCTCTTTGTGTCTCTCATGAATAAATAAATAAAATCTTTAAAAAAAGGATTTATTTATTTATTTATTTATTTATTTATTTATTTATTTATGAGAGATTGGGAGAGAGAGAGAGAGTGCACAGAGGGAGAGAGAGGGGGAGGGAGAAACAGATTCCTTGCTGAGCAGGTAGCCTGATGTGGGGCTCGATCCCAGGACCCCAAGATCATGACCTGAGCCAAAGGCAGATGCTTTACCAACTGAGTCACCCAGACACCCCCCTCCACATACACCAGTTACCGCATTTAAATTCCAAATAAAGAAGAAGGGCCAAGCAAATGTTCCCTCAATTGTCATTAGGCAGAGCTGGGTCACATGGCCACCTCTGATTGAAAGGAAGCCGGGAGAGAGAGTGTACTAGTTTAGGTCGCTGCTGTAACACATTGCCATACACTTAGTTGCTAAAACCCCACCTAATTACTATTTTATAGTTCTGGAGGTCAGAGTCCTAAAATCAGGGTGCTGGGCAGGATCCTTCTGGAGGCTATGTGGGAGAATCTGTTTCCTTGCCTTTTCTAGCTTCCAGAAGCTGCCTGAATTCCCCTTGGGTCGTGGCTCCTTATTGCATTTTCAAAGCCAACAGTGTAGTGTTTTCAAATCTGTCTCACTCTGTGACCTCTGCTTGTGTCCTCACATCTCCTTTTTCTTACCCTGATTTTCCTGCCTTTGTCTTGGAAGGACCTCTTATGATTATGTTGGGTCTACCTGGACCCCTTTACTGTGTAAGGTAACGTAGTCCCAGATTACAGGGATTAGTACATGGACATCTCAGTGAGGGTCATTCATTGTTCTGTCTCTCGTAGTGTCTACATTTCCCCTAGGGTGTATAGTGGGTGATGAATGTAGAGAAGGGGATTGGTGTTTAACCAACCAGTAGTGTGTGACATCTTACTAATATAGATTTATTCCAGGGACAAGAGCACAGAAAGGATCCTGGGACACAGGGTCTCTTATCCCCATCTACACTGAGTTGATGCCAGTAGCCCAAATCCTTGGGGGAAAATCTAAAAAAGAGAATGCATTTTCCTGCCGAGCCTCTGTTGACTCTTGCATGAGTTGAACATTGATGTGTTGCTTTTCTGTCCCAGCAGAACCGACGAGAGCCTGGGTCAGGAGAGGGAGCCAGAGCCAGGCTGCTCCAGGCCAGAACTGAGGCTTCTCCTCTTAGGGAGAAGTGGTGTAGGAAAAAGTGCCACTGGAAACACTATTCTGGGCAGATCCATGTTTGTGTCCAAATTTAGTAACCAGATGGTGACGAAAGTGTGCCAGAGAGAGAGTAGGGCCACAGGAGAGGGGACACTTGTGGTCATCGACACCCCCTACCTTTTCTCCTCAATGTCTCGGGCCGAAGACAAGCAACGCAACATTGAGCGCTGCCTGGAGCTCTGTGCGCCCAGCCTGCACGTCCTGCTGCTGGTCATTGCCATCGGCTGTTATGAGCTGGAGGACAAAGAGGTGGTCTGTGGCATCCAGGAGGTGTTTGGAGCCGAAGCCAGGAGGTACATGATTGTTGTCTTCACTCGGAAGGATGATTTGGAGGGAGACTCAGTGCAAGATTACATCGAAGGGTTAGATTCCCTCAGGGAATTAGTTGAAAACTGTGGAGGCCGATACTGTGCTCTGAACAACAAGGGGAGCGAGGAGGAGCGGGTCGGCCAGGTGAGGGAGCTCCTTGGCATGGTGCAGCGTCTGGTGGGTGAAAATGGAGGACCCTATATCATGAAGTTCAGAAACCAAGGCGGTGGATTCCTGGTAAGAAGTTCTTAAGGTTGGGTTCCTAAATTCCTGGGGTCCCTCCCCACAGGGAGCCTGCGTCTCCCTCTATGTCTCTGTCTCTCATGTATAAATACATAAAATCTTTTTTTTTACAAAGAAATTCTTAAGGTCTGCAAGGATCTCTGTGGCTAGAGCTCACGGACGGATGTTGGGCACAGGTAAGTGAGGTGTCACCTTGTGTGATGGGCCATTGACTTTGTTTAAGGAGCTATTCATCCATCATCTAGAAAGATGAGGCACCAGACCATAGGGTGCCTTGAGTATTACCCTTTGGATTTTGGACTTTAGACATTATTGGCAAATTAAACGGATACATTTAAGTCCTTACCTAACTTTATCCCTCACAATATTGGATACACAGATGGACCCTCTCTTCCCTTGACTTCAATCCAACTATGCTCTTTTTGTTTTCTTCCTCCTGCCCTTTCTGGCTACTCCAGAGATTCCTGAGATCTCCTCACATGGCCTCTAAAAGTTGGCATCTTCAGGGCATACTTCTAGACTGTCCTCATTTCTTCACCTCCAGCTTTATACCCTGTCAATTGCTAACTGTTTCCAGATTAACAGTCCAGGCCTTTCCTCTGAATCCTGCTCCCTTATCCATTTGACATCTCCACTCAGCTCTCATATAGGATCTCAGGCTTCACACTTCCAAACTTTTGGTTTTCCCTCTGAAATCTGTTAAGACTTCTGTATTCCTCTCAAGTGGGTAAATGGTCGTGCTGCTCATCATGCTCTTCAAACCTAAGCCCAGAGGTTAGCTTTGCTACAGCTACTGGCTGGCCACTGATGGCCAAGTCATCAAGTCTTGTGTGGTCACTGTGCCTGGCTCCCACCCACTTCTCTCCATCTGCATGCCTCCCTGCACCGTCCAGTCCAAGCCAGCCTCTGTTCTTGCCTGTCCTGTTTTATACACACCCTTCCCCTCATTCATTCTTGTGGCTTACCCCTCAATCCATTTCCTGCACAATAGCCAGAGTGATATTTTATTTAACTTCTAAACTTGAATGGGAAGTGTATTTGTAGCTAAGGGAGATACAAAAAATCAGGCTTTTGCCTTTGAGGAGCTTACACTTCGGGTCGAGTGACTCATGCAAAAGACACAAATCAGTTCCTGACTCAGGGTAGGTAAGTCAGTGTTGGTAGAGAGGATTCTTAATGCAAGTGCCAGGGGATATAAAGCAAGCAAATATCCAGCATGGGGGCGGTTTTTGTCAGAGTGAAATTCTTGAGAACTGATGAGCGTTAAGCCCAAACAGAAATGAGAAGGAAGCAACACTTTATTGAGCACCTGCTAAGGCCCAGAACATGAACGGATGGAGTCGTTGCAAGTGCTCTGTGTACTGATGTTCTGTGGATGAGGACTGTGAGGCTCAAGAGAACTTGTTGCTCTCTGGTCTCCTGAGTCTGACCTCCCTGTCTCTCCTTTATAACCACCTGTCTCTCTCTTTCTCTTGAAGGCTGTCTGCAACAGGGATGTCAGCAGAGAGGATCTGGGGGACAGAATGAGCTCTCTGCAGTATACCCTGAACACAACACCCTCTTGTTTAAAATGCTGCAGTGACTGTCCGCTGATCTTTAGATTAAGTTCAGAATCACAGTCCTGAGCTGGTTCCTCAGCCTTTAACTTGCTCTTTATGCATTGGTCTCACTGGCCTTTCCTTTGGTCCTTGACTTACGTTCATGTCCACTCTAGAGCTTCCACCTGTGATTTTGTCCACCTAGACACCTTCCCTCTCCATCCTAGCCCATACCGGGGGTAGCCATCTGCCTCAGAGTGAGCTCACTTCCTCAGGGCCTTCCCCCCACGCCCCACCTTCTATCAATGGCACTCCTCACATGGCCACCAGCCGGTCAAGTGATTGCTGTGAATATACTTGCAGTGGTTGCCTCCCTGAGGGATGGACCTCATATCCGTTTTGTTGACACAGGATCTTCTTTTTGTCTTCTGTAAAACAGAGATAATAATACGTATCTCAGAGAATTCTGTGAGGACTAAATGAAATAAATGCCTATAAGTTACTTGCAAATACTGGCGATGTAAACATTCAGTGATCATTAGCTGCCATTATTATTGTTATTAGTATTATTATGGATGGAGATAAGGTTCACTTAAGTCATGGAGACATTGAGGATTCTAACAACCCAGAGACTGAGCAAGCTTCCCACTTTTAGGGGCAGCCCTGGTGGTGGCCCGGCGGTTTAGCGCCGCCTGCAGCCCAGGGCTTGATCCTGGGGACCCTGGATCAAGTCCCACATCGGGCTCCCTGCATGGAGCCTGCTTCTCCCTCTGCCTGTGCCTCTGCCCCCCACCCCCGTGTCTCTGTGAATAAATAAATAAAATCTTTTTTTTTTTAAAAAGGTTCCCACTTTTAGGACTATTACAGAGAAATAAAACATTCACATGTACAAAGATGTAAGTATAGAGATATTTATCATGGCATCTTTTGAAATAGGAAAGCCAGAAATAAACTGATGGTCTATCAGTAAAGGAATTGTTACATTAGTCGGAATATTCCTTGTCCATGCTGTGTAACAAACAGCATCTCCTAAAAAAAACAAAAAACAAAAAAACCCCAACAACAACGGGGTTGATCTATATGTACTGACTTGTACAGCTATACAGGACATATTATGAAGCAGATTGCAGAACAAAATGCCTAGCAAGTCTCCCTGTGTGTTCATATATGCCTGTGTATATTTGCATAAACTTAGAAAAACATAGAAGGAAATATGTTAATTAGCAGCTGCTCCTTTTACAGTGGGTTGGAAAATTTAAAATTATTAATTTTTAGATCGTAAGCATTTGCATTGGGACAATCTTTTGCATTTGAAACACATGAAAGAGTTTGAGTTGTGCCAGGTAGGATGAAAGAAGTCTGATAGAGCTGAATGGAGAGGACCCAGGGAGAGATGGTTGGAGGTAGCCACGGTTTGGAATAAGGCCAGGTAAGAAAGCAGAAGGAACATTTCCTTGGCTGGGATGGAGATTTAACAAAAATAGGATTAAAATAAAGTATTGGAATCTTCTAAGAGTAGCAGGTGCATCAGGATTTTGTATCATTTTTACCTTCTCTTTTGAGTCCATGACAGTTTTAAATTTTGGGAGCGAGAATGCTTCCCCAGGCAGGCAAAGGGAATACCAATTGTGTGTTTGGTTTTCCATCCTCCATTGTCTCTGTTTGCCCACCTGAGTGGGAGAAAGTCCCAAATTTTCCTGGTTTTTATGTCAGAAGAAGCATCGTCTCTATACTCGGGGTACAGTGTGGGGAGATGTGTGGGAGCTTCATTTCCAATCTCCTCCCTTTCCCTGGTCCCTGAGATGAATATCCCAGACATCAATGGGTTAGTTTCTTCCTCCAGGAAGTCCAGTAGCACTTCTTAAGCCTCTGGATTTTCTATGTGAACAGCAGAAACCCTGCAAGACTTTAGAAGGAACTGCTGGGGGATCGGGGAGAAGGAAAGTTAGAGCTTCAGTCTCAATGCCTTAATTAGATGGCATTTGTGGGGCTCCTCTGAGTGAGAATAAGACCCATCTTCATACTTCAGGGAAGCCTGTTGTGGTGGCAGCAGTGAGGTCTCAAGATCAATCGTCATTACGGACAGTTCTACAAAAGCCAACAGGGAACATGACCGTGGCCTTGATTTGACCACATTCTAATCAGCCGATTCCTCTGGATTACATACTTGTGTCTCCATTTCTTTATTTTGTGAAAAGATGAGATTTTGTGCAATATTTCCCCTTTCTTTTCTTTTCTTTTTTTCCCCCTTTATTTTCTAGGATAGCGTGAATGGAGCCGCGTCTCAGAAGGAGGATAAGCCACATGGTAAGATGATCCTGAAAAACGTTAAGTTCGCATTCACATTCTTTTGAATGCATCATGCATCAAAATGTAGTGGGGAAATTAGATAAGTAGAATCAAAGATGCACTCTGGAGGCCTGGCTCAGGTTCTTGTCCACACCCTGTCCCCCAGGGGACTCCTAACACCTGGGAGTAGGTTCTGGACAAGGTGTGGGTGTCCCTGGCCTTCTCTGAAATGTTATGGAGGTGGGCTTCCCTTTCATGGCTTCTTTCTAGATCAGTCTTGTCTTCCTGGCTCTGGATCCAGGACTATATAACGTTGACTCCTACTGGGAAAGCAGAAATCACCTTTGTGGATAAAACTCGTCCTTAGAATTCAATGATGGAGCTCAGTGTCAGTGTAATGATTGCTGTGAATGCTGCATCCTGCACGCTGCTCATGTCAATACCTATAGACCACCTCATTCTGTTTCACATGTGTGATTTTGTCCATAGTAAGAGCATATATGACTAATTCAACCATCCCTTTACCAAGGACTTTCAGGTTATTTCTGGGCCAGCTCTGTGCAAGAACCAAATATTCAGCAGTGAGTAAGATAGATGAGATCTCTGTTCTCATAGAACTCCCCCAAATAATAATAATAGTAATAATAATAATAATCTCAATTTTAATGATAATTGCAATTGATATTATGTACTGGAAAAATATATAAATAATTCAATCTTCATAGCATATAACATAATTCTCATAATAACCACATACATTTATTCCTCTTAACAGCACTCTGAAGAGGGTGGTATTATCATTATTCTCATTTATAGATGAGTAAACTTAGCAGAAATATGTGAACTCAGGCAGAAGTAGGGGTTTAAAATTCTATTGATGCCTTTCAGCCAAGACCTCCAGGAACTTCCCTATCCTGTCCCCAAATGATTCTTCATGGTCATGAGGAAATAGCATGCCATGGGGAGTCATGGAGTGTCTCAGAATGAGGGCATTGGAAGGGAGTTTTTATAGGATACAGACTTGTGTGAGGTGATTTTGGAGAAATTAGGAACTTTCCCAAGACAACATAACAAGGACATTCTGTCACTAGCATTTCAGTGGCTTCTTTAAACGCCATATTCATTCCACCTCCCAGACCTTTGGCTCAGACGCCCAGGGACAATCCACACCTATAGCACCCAGGGTGCCTCAGACTCTGAATATTTCCTGTAGTGGCTGACTCTGCCATTTGCTCGGTGTGTAGGTTTGGTGCTGAACTTGGATCAAGGAGAAGTGGTGGGGACAGGGCATGTGTACAGAGACAGTTTTGTGCACAGGTTTCTACAGTAATTTATTGAGGTACAATTATCATAAAGTAAAATACACAAATCTTAAGTGTATAGCTCAGTGACCTTTTACCTATCTACACATACATGACCACCACGTAGATAAAGATCTGGAGCATTTCTACCACTTCACAAGTTTCTGCTGCCTCTCCGCAAAGAGAACTGAATCCAGACTCCCAGCAACATAGATTAATTCTGCCCTTTCTTGAACTTCACAGAGTGGAACTGGATAGCATGTGGTTTTGTGTCTGGCTTCTTTCATTTAACATGTTTTGAAGATCCATGCATGTTGTGTATCAATGGTTCATTCATTCTTTTTTTTTTTAATTTCTGTGTAGTATAGAATTTCATAAATATGCTACCAAGGGGCATTTTAAAAAATTTTATTCATTGATTTTTTTTCCCCAAGGGGCATTTTAAGCTCAGATTCTCCCTTGTCCTGCTTTAGCCCATGGACTTCATACCCCAGGCAGTCACCTTTGGTAGCAAAATGAAAGGAAATCTAAGGAGCAAGACCACTAAAGGCCAAGTTTAACATTTTCATGTTTCTGGGAAATCTTGAGCTTTTAACATATCTCTTCATTTATTCACGGCCCCTTTTGTGGGTTTTATAACGATGGGCAGCTTCTGACCGGGACTAGAGTCCTACTGCTCAGAGCACCATTGGCATTGCCTAGAAAAACTGGCAAGGATGAGAAAGCAAAAACCTGTCCACATCTCTGTATTCAGTTGCAAGAAGAGACTCTGAATCTGCCCTTTTGTCCCACAGGGGGAGGGGAGTCGCAGCGTCAGGCCACAGGATATGAGCCCAACCCTGGGATTCACGAACTGAAGGTCCTGCTTGTGGGGAAGCGTGGAGCCGGGAAAAGCGCAGCTGGGAATAGCCTTCTGGGGAAGCGAGTCTTCGAGACCAAATTCAGTGAAGAGTCAGTCACCCGGAGGTTTGTGTTGGAGTGCAGAATCTGGAGAGAGAGAAGAGTTGTGATCATTGATACTCCAGACATCTCATCTTCAAAGGATATTAAGGCTGAGCTCCGGAGACACGTCTTTGGGGGCCCCCACGCCTTCCTGCTGGTGACCCCGCTGGGCTCTTTCTCCAAGAAAGATGAGGTGGTACTGGACACCCTCCAAGCCAGTTTTGGAGACAAATTCGTGGAGTACCTGATCATTCTCTTCACCAGGAAAGAAGACCTGGGGGATCAGGATCTAGAGATGTTCTTGAAAAGCAGAAATACAGCTCTCTGCAAGCTCATCAAGAAGTGCAAAGACCGGTACTGCGTCTTCAATTACAGGGTGACAAGAGAAGAGGAGCAGCACCAGGCAGAGGAGCTCCTGCAAACAGTCGTGAGCCTGGTGCAGCAGCACGGGGACAGGCCCTGCACTTTCAGAGAGGAAGGTACACAGCATCTAAAAACCTTTTCTAGATGCTTTTAGAAACCAGTTATGAAACATATAAGAAGGGCGTAGGGATGATAGAAAGGAGAGACTCAATCTGCTAACTTTTCTCTTTCTCTAGTGTTACTAAAGTTCTGTGCCTTTCCACACACACTGTCCAGACCCAGTCTTTAATTCTTTTCTGATTTTTATCCCACTTTCCCAACCGGATGGTGCAGGTCTTGAGGGAAGGAGTTTGGCTCTTTCTAATCTCTCACTTTCTCCGCAGTGTATCTGTTGCCTGGGGCTAAGGTCTCAGCACCGCTGATGAGATGGTTCTGGACCTCTGGTTTGCTTTTTCTCTCAAGCCCACTCTAACTTTCTCTCTCTCTCTCTCTCTCTCTCTCTCTCTCTCTCTCTCGATTTCTTGATTCTTTTCTCTCTTTGGAGAGGGGAGGCTATTTTGGAGAAAAGAGGATGAGGACTGGGAGCCCAAATGTTCATGATAGGTAGGCCTCATGTGGCACTAGGTGGGTTTCTTATCCCAGCCACACTACCTGCTGCTTTAGCAGAGGGCCCCATGCACTCGGTGCTACATGCACTATTGCCCTGAGCTGAGATTCATCCAGGACAGCATGACTCACCCATTTGTCTTCACTTCAAATGCCCTCATCTGAGAAGAACACAGACTCAAAGGAGTGTATCTTTTTATGATCCCTTTCACATCCGTCATGGAGGGCCAAGTGCTGGGGAGCTTCCTACAGAAGTATGGACAGGCAGGGAGGTTAGGAGAGGCCGTGTGGAGAAGGCCCGATTTGAAATGGGATTTGGAGAATGGGCAGGGTTTGGGTGGCTGTCAGAAAGCTGGAAGACATTGCGGAGTCCTCCAGCAATCGGAAGCAAGGAAGGAGGACTAAGCATGCCACTCATGAGGGAGGCTGAGGGAGTGGCCATGATGGAAATGGAGGGTTCACGCCTCTACACAATGTGGGATGGGGCTTATAGAGCAGATCACAGAGGTCCTTGAGAACCATCCCCTCTGAGGGTGTGGAAGCAGGGCCTGAAATCTGTGACGGATATGAGAGAGTTGGAAGATTAATCTATTTTTCATCCTTTAAGCATAACTATAGGATTGTGAGTTCAGGATAAGCAATTCAATAATTTTCCCTGGAAGGAAGGGCACAGGAAAGCACAGAACTTTCCTCCATCTTCATTTTAAGATGGATATTGGTAACAGGCGAAAAAAGCCAGAGTGGAAGAGAGAGACTACAGTACAAGTGCAAAGTCCTAAGGAGCCCCCACTAACATGCATTGTGAGGTGTCTGTCTCTGCCATTCCATTTATAGGGACATCTATTCTCCATCATCGCCACACAAAACAGTGTGAGTGTGGGTCCTTTACTATAACCATGAAATAGTAACTCATTAGTTGAAAGGCACAGTTCAGATTAATGGGTTTTAATGAGAAATGAATTTTTGGTGATCCAAATGAAGGAACTAGTAGTCTGTCAGTGATTTATGCAGTTGCTTTTTCATAAAAAGTCAGTTCTATGGAATAATTTATTTATTTATTTATTTATTTATTTATTTATTTATTTATTTATGATAGGCACACAGTGAGAGAGAGAGAGGCAGAGACACAGGCGGAGGGAGAAGCAGGCTCCATGCACCGGGAGCCCGATGTGGGATTCGATCCCGGGTCTCCAGGATCGCGCCCTGGGCCAAAGGCAGGCGCCAAACCGCTGCGCCACCCAGGGATCCCGGGAATAATTTTTTTAAACCATCAAGGAGACTTTGCTGCAGTTAGCACTAGTTGGCAACAGGAAGTCATCATTGCAGCAGGAACAGGAGACCAAGAGATGAGATGTGGAGGCTAGACGCAGCTGAGTAGCAACAGGTAATAAAAGCGGTGGCACTCACAGGGTGCCAGGGAGTCAGAGAAGTTACCAGAAGGCAGGAAGCAAATTCAGGGATAGGGACGTGGATGAGCACTGGGCAGAGATGGCTGTCCACGTCATGCTTCCGGTCACAGAGCGCACACCTGGAACCGTGCTTGGGGCGAGAGCTGCCGGGTGAGGGGGTGGCCGTGATGTTCCCTGTGCATCCTTGGCTGTGACATCTGGCGTCACTTTGAAAGCTGCACCCACGTCATCAGCCCATGGCCACAGATCTTTCCTGCTTTCTTTTTGACAGAGCCCCTGAGTCTTGTCCTGGTGGGGAAGAGCGGCCCTGGGAAGAGCGCCACGGGCAACACCATCCTCGGCAGGCCCGACTTCCTTTCCCAGTTCCGAGCGCAGCCAGTCACCAAGACGTGCCAGAGCAGCAGGAGGCTGTGGGGCCAGCAGGAGGTCGTGGTGGTGGACATGCCCTCACTGTGCCTGATGGCCAGTGCGGAGGGGGGTCCGTCCCAGCTAGAGGAGGAAGTCAGACGCTGCTGGTCCTGCTGTAAAGAAGGGAACAAGATCCTGGTCCTGGTGTTCCAGCTGGGCTGGTTCACTCAGGAGGACAAGAGGGCCGTGAAGGAATTAGAAACCATCTTTGGAGAGGAAGTTTTGAAGTACACGATTGTGCTGTTCACTCGGAAGGAAGACCTGGAGGTGGACATTGCAGATTACATCAAGAACGCAGAAAACAGAACCCTTCAGAACATAATCAAAAGGTGTGGGGGGCGAATTTGTGCTTTTAATAACAAAGAAACTGGCCAAGCCAGGGAAGACCAGGCAGCAGTTCTTCTGACAATGGCCAATCAGCTGATAGAGAGACATGGGGGGCATGGGTACCCCCAGAAGTGGGAGAACATTAGCAAAACCATTAAAAATGTCCAGGACAAGCACCAGCCCAAACATTTACTAAAGAATTTAAAAGAAATTTTACTGTAGATACCCGACTTGCTTGGGAGGCTCTGTAAGTTAGACACCCTCAGTTGGGGACGGGGCAGGGTGGGACTGGTGGGATGGGAGGAAGGTCCTTGACTTTGGGGGCTGGGAAGACACTACAGATCTCCCAGCACTGTGTAAGTAAATGAATCCTCAGGCTGGGCCAGGGCTCATTAAGGAGAAAGAAGAAATGAGGCGAGGCAGGGAAATCTAGAAAGAGGCTTCAGAGATTGCATGGCTTTGAGGATCAGAATTAAGTCACATGAATCACGTCACCCGTGTACATACATTGGAGTCAGGACACACACTGTGACTGAGGCCAAGGCCAGCCTAGGGTCAAATAGGGAGAAATACACAAGGAAGGACCGGGGGATCCAGATACAGGAGCAGCGAGCAATGTCCAGCCAATGCCTGGCTTGGGAAAGTGGAGAAGCTGGACTTGTGTGGGCCTCTAGGGGGCTAGGCCTGCTGGCGACCTGAGGTACCTTGTTACCCCCTGGGGCAGGACTCAGATCTAGAATGGTCCTTTCCTCACGGGGGTGGGGTGGGGTGGGTGGTGGATATTCGTCAGTGTTGTCTTCATTCCAACCTGAATGGAAGGTGGGACCCAGTCTACTCCGCTTCCTCGTCCCTTAGGAAAGGAACACGAGTCTGGGCGGTTTCAAAGTATTTTATTGCTAACCATTGCGCTGAAATAGAGAAGAACAAAATTCCTAGACACAGTCAAGTTGTCGAGATTAGACAATCTCGCCAAGTTCCAGCATTCTAGATAGAATTCTAGGTTGCCTCTAGAAAAGTTCATTCAAGACTCCTTTGCACATTCCTCTTTTTTTCATCCCCGAGGGTTAGGAATTAGGGTAAAGCTCAGAGAACTCAAGTGATAATGTCTTGAACCCCGTAGGAGCACACTGTATCTCACATCAGGAAGTCAAGGGGGAGGCACTCTGAGGCCGGTGTGACATCCACGCTCTAGCCTCGGAGGTGTGTGGCCTCTGCACTTCCGGTCACTTTTTGGTTCCAGGCTGGTGGTGCTCTGCAGTGGCTGAGCAGATTATGTTGAGGGCTGCCTGGTGCAGGCCATAGATGAGATGAGAACTATGGGGTCTTCTCCCAGGTAGGTGTGGTTGGATGTTCTCAACATTAACCATTTCATGTATGTGTTGAGGACAGGATCTATTTCATCCGCTTTTGTTTTTTGAAAGTATCAGTTGCCTTCAAGTTTAACCTATTTATCAGAGCACAGACTGTCCCCATTAATCGTGTTGTACTCTATGTAACTCTAAATATGACAGATTCTGGAACATGTGTGTATACATATATTCAAGTTGAGTGAAATAATAAAGGTGAATTATTTTATAAATTCACATCCTCCTGATTTCTGTCTTTCTGGCTTGGGGGAGGAGCACGCCTCCACGGAGAGGCAATGCAGGTGTTTAGACACTTTGACTCTGGTGAGGTTTTTGCAGCTTTGGTCCATGAAGACCTTCAGAGTGGGTGACAGCCATTTTCTTACTATGGCCTCTGCCAGCCCAGGAATCCCCCACTCTGGGCATTTCACTACAGCAAGGACAAATAAATTAGAACTGGGAGCAGGGGAGGAATGAAGTCTAGAAGGCATTTTGTCTCTCTTCCGAGAGCTTCCCTTCTGTTTGAAGGCAGGCACAAAGCCCAGTGTGCTACCCGTGGTGTAGCAGGTGGCATTGGGAGCTGCACAAGATGGGGGATGTGTGGGCTAAGCAACATGGCATCTTTTCCCAGGTAGGACCTAACGTCCATCTCCACTTTCCTGTAGGACCATGCTTGAGGGGCGTGATAATACTACCACGTCTGTTCCTCAGAGAGGCATGCGCTGGGAGTTAGGGGTGCAAGAGATTTCCTGGGGGCAGGGGATGAAGTAGTGGCTGTTTATTTATTTATTTATTTATTTATTTATTTATTTATTTATTTATTTTTTTAGCAGTGGCTGTTTAAAGACTAAAGAAATAGCAGAATTGGGCTGAGAGAACTTTCACACTGCAGTGCAGATCTGACACTTGCCAAAGGAAAGTGGGGAGATGCTGCTTGTGTACAGGGAGCTGCACAACTGACAAGCCAACGCCATCTGAACAGAGAGTTCAAGGGCAAGGACTGATGCGTAGTGATGATGTCCTGCATTGGGCAGACACTGGTGCCTCCACTGTGCTCAGCCCTTGGCTGGGGGCTGCCAGGAAAGGGCATGGTTTGGGCCCAAAAGCTGAGGTGGGTCCTGAAAGCGTTGCAGCTGGTGGCTGCCAGCTTACTGCCCTCCTTGGAGCAAAGTGGAATTTTCCTTCCTTTTCTTTTTTAAGTGATGTACATCAGATCCCCAGAAGTTACTCATCTTATAGCTGGGTGTTTTCATCCATGGGCTAATATCTCCCATCTCCCCACCCCCCAGCCAGCCCCCAACCACCATCATCTTATTCTCTGTTTCTACGAGTTAGACTTTTTTAGTAAGCGAGATCATGGAGTATTTGTCTTACTCTGCCTGACTTATTTCACTGAGCATAGTGCCCTCAAGATATGCCTCATGCTGTGACAGCATGATTTCCTTGTTTTTTTTTTTTTATGGCTGAAGAATATTCCACTGCCTATATATACTATTCTTCATCCCTTCATCTGTTGACAGACCCTGAGATTGTTTTCATGTCTTGGATATTGTGAATAATGTTGCACTGAACATGGGGGTGCAGACAGCCTTCAAGATCTTGTTTCTTTCTTTTTTTTTAATTTTTATTTATTTATGATAGTCAGAGAGAGAGAGAGAGAGAGAGAGAGAAAGAGAGAGAGAGAGGCAGAGACACAGGCAGAGGGAGAAGCAGGCTCCATGCACCAGGAGCCCGACGTGCGATTCGATCCCGGGTCTCCAGGATCGCGCCCTGGGCCAAAGGCAGGCGCCAAACCGCTGCGCCACCCAGGGATCCCTGATTTCATTTTCTTTGGATATATACCTAGAAGTGGAATTGGTGGATCATATGATAGTTCTCTTTCTAATTTCTTTTCTTTTTATTTTAAAGATTTTATTCTTAAGTAATCTCTATACCCAATATAGGGCTTGAACTCACGACCTCGAGATTAAGAGTTGAACGCCCTTCAGCCCCGGTGGCGTAGCGGTTTAGTGCCGCCTGCAGCCCAGGGCGTGATCCTGGAGACCCTGGATTGAGTCCCATGTCAGGCTCTCTGCATAGTGCCTGTTTCTCTCTCTATCTTCTGCCTCTCTCTCTCTCTCTCTCTCTGTGTGTGTGTGTGTCTCTATTAATAAATAAATAAAGTCTTAAAAAAAAGAGTTGAACGCCCCACCGACTCAGCCAACCAGGTGTCCTTATTTTTAACTTTTTTTAAAAAAATTTTATTCATAGAGACACACACACAGATTGAGAGAGAGAGGCAGCGACACAGGCAGAGGGAGAAGCAGGCTCCATACAGGAAGCCTGATGCGGTACTCGATCCTGGGTCTCCAGGATCACACCCCAGGCTGCAGGCAGCGCTAAACCGTTGCACCACCGCGGCTGCCTCCTATTTTTAATTTCTGGAGGAACTTGCACACTGTTTTCTTCAGTGGTTGCACCAATTTACATTCCCACCAACAGTGTACATGGTCCCCTTTTCTCTACATTCTCATGGACATCCGTTATTTCTTGTCATTTTGATAATAACCATTCTGACAGGTTTGTGAGGTTATATTTCCTTGTCATTTTGATTTGCATTTCCCAGATGATCAGTGATGGTGAGTATCTTTTCATGCACCTGCTGGCCATTTGTATGTCTTCTGTGGAAGTATATTTATTCCAGTCCTTTGCCTGCTTTTTGTTTGTTTTTTAAAGATTTTATTTGTTTATCCATGAGAGACACACAGAGAAGGCAGAGACATAGGCAGAAGGAGAAGCAGACTCCCTATGAGGAGCCCTACGAGGTCTTGATCCCAGGACCCCGGGATCACGACCTGAGCTGAAGGCAGATAGATGCTCAACCACTGAGCCACCCAGGTGCCCCTGCCCATGTTTTAATCAGATTGCTTTCTTGTTGCTATTGAGAGGTATGAACGCCTTATAAATTTTGGATATTAACTCCTTCTCAGGTATATCATTTGCAAATATTTCCTCCCATCCTGTATGCTGCTTTCTCATTTTGTTAATTATCTCTTTTGCCATGCTGAAGCTTACTTGAACATTATTACACCTGTCTATGTCTGTCTTTGTTGTCTGTGCAAAAAAAATTATTGCCCAAACCAATCTCAAGGAGTGCTTCCCTGACTTCTCTTCTGGTAGTTTTACCATCTCAGGTCTTACGCTTAAATCTTTATTTCATTTCGAGTTAATTTTTGAATAACATGAGAGTCCAATTTCATTCTTTTGCATGTGGATATCCAGTTTCCCAACACCACTTATTGAAGAAACTATCCTTTCCCCATGTATTCTTGGCTTCCTTGTCAAAGATTTGACTTGACTAAATCTTCTTGAAGGGAACACCTTCACGAGTGGTGTGCCTTCATAGCTGTCGCAGTCAACTGGCATTCTCCCTGCAGAGTCATTTCTCCATGTGTTTGGAGACCAGTTCCTACAGGGTTCCACTGGGCATCTCTTCCTGCAAGGCAACTTAAAGAGGAAAATTTCTAGGATGCATTAAGGCCCTTGTTGCGGCATTCAATCTTGGGCTGCGTGCAACTGGTACTCATGGTCTTCCTCCATGGTCTCTTCACTTTCCCCTAACCTTCAGCTTTCATTTCTGAGGGACATTCTGGGGACACTGGATGACTCCATTCTTATTCCTAAAGGATGTGAGACCGTGGTAAGACTCCAGGACTCTCTGCAGCATATGTGTCTTAGCAAGGCTCTAAATGCTGCTATGGGGACGCCTGGGTGGCTCAGTGATGGATCATCTGCCTTTGGCTCAGGGTGTGATCCTGGGGTCCTGGGATCAAGTCACACATCCGGCTCCCTGCAATGAGTCTACTACTTCTTCTGCCTATGTCTCTGCCTCTCTCTGCGTGTCTCTCATGAATAAATAAATAAAATCTTTTAAAAAATGCTAGCCATGAATCGCTCATCCTGCCTGTTCAGTGAGGTATCATGGAGGTAATGGGGTGGCTCTCGACTGGGAGTGACTTTGCCCCAAAAGATAGGCTTGGAAATCTCTAGAGACACTTTTGGTTGTCACAACATGGAGGTGCTACTGGCATATAGCATGTAGAGGCCAGGGGTGCTGCTAAACGTCCTACAGCACTCAGGACAGTCCTCATAACAAAGAATTATCTGGCCCAATATGTCAGTAGTACCGAGGTTGAAAGACCCTGGTACAATGGATCAATGTGATGTATTGAAGGATGTCCAGATGTTCCAGCTGTCTTTGAACTAGAGAGTAGGAGAAGTAACTTCCAAAGAAGTGGTTTTTCCTTGTTCACAGAGCTTCTGTTTTGCTAATGCACTGTGCATGTACCTCTTTGTCACATGGAGTCATCCAGTGTCCTCAGACTTTTCTCAAGCCTTCCTTTCCTCATGCCGACCCCTTTCATTTCCTCTCCTCTCACTACCTGCCCTGAGAAAGGCGTTGTGTGGGATGTGGCATTTGTGGTGAGTTTAACTTCCAGGGTAAAAGAAAAAAAAGCGCTAATTCTGAAAAGACAGAAAATCTGAATCTTGTTTTCCTATTCCATCATTACAATGGTTGATCCGTGGCCCCATTGGTCCAGCCTTCCCTGCGGGCGTATTATGCCCCTTTCCAGCAGACGGAGACATCAGCATATGTCACCTTCCAATTTCCCAGGAGAGGCAATGCGATGCTAACCAGAAGCCTTTGTGGTCATAGTTTTTGCTTTTTTTTTTTTTTTTTTTTCTGAGAACAAACACAGGATATGCTTAATAGATCGGTGTGAAACCTACTTGTGAACGAGACAGCATTTTGCTCTTCAGCTGCAAATATTTCCTGTTCATGGCTTCTCACCTGTCTTCATAAATGTTAGTGGGTGGGATGGCGTGCCTGTGTTTCCTGACAGGTTAGGAGGACAGCAAATAGACTAGATAAAAAGGGGTCAAGCCAGGGGCAGGTGTTATGCCCTAATCATAGCCTTTGGAAATATATTTCTTTCTTTTTTTTTTTTTAAAGATTTTATTTATTTATTCATGACAGAGAGAGAGAGAGAGAGAGAGAGAGAGAGAGGCAGAGACACAGGCAGAGGGAGGAGCAGGCTCCATGCAGGGAACCAGATGTGGGACTCGATCCCAGGTCTCCAGGATCACGCACTAGGCAGAAGGCGGCACTAAACCGCTGGGCCACCGGGGCTGCCCAGGAAATATATTTCTAATGTGTCTGTAATAAGACTACC